ACTGAAACTGCAGATAGAGGAGACGTGAATAAGGGAACCACTGCATCGAAGCTATTGGTAAAGGAGTAAAATCACTATGTTTGCCACAAAGTACTTTTATTTCTGGGCTTTTCCCATTGATATCCTCACAATGTTTCTCAGTTAATGGAATATGAATAAGAAAAGTACATGAGCAAAAAAGTAAAAATAAGTTAAAGTTATTTAACTTTAGCCCGGTTTTTGAAACAATTAAATGCTGGATCCCCTATTGTTCTGGGCAGGTTTCACCATAGTGAACTTTGTTTTTCCTACAGCATATCATAAAGTTATCATGTTTTAAATGAATGGAAACTCGGATGTACATAGGTCTAGGGTAAATTCAGTGACTTACAAATGATTAATAGATTAATATTCATCATATGGAACATGCTACAGTTTAGTCATATTGAGTCACCCATCTACCATGAAGAAAATAAATATTTACTATAGAGAGTCAGGGACAGACAGGAATTAGACAGATGGGGAAAAAGCAGAATTAAAAGAAAAAATATACAAATAAATTTTGAAGAATGTACTAAATGCTTGTCTATGAAAGTAATTCATTACAGAATACATTTTGAGTGATATACACAGGATAAGTTTCAGATACATTACAATNTAAATTTGTCATGTTTAAACAATATTCTGCTAACATAGTTTATGTCCCCATTCATTTTTGATTACATTTTCTACCACTTGTTCTCATGTTACATTATCTAAAATTCACAAAGATAAATAAATATAGAAAGTTTTTGTATGGGGTTAAGACCGCCCAATAGATGCCTGAAACTCTGGATAATACTGAACCCTATCTTATCTGTGGGTGTTCTTGTTTTCCAGAAACAAACTTAACATCTTTTACATCTTAACTAAACACTTATCATCCTATGTCACTGTACCTTTTGGAGTTGGAGGTGCAACAGCAAATCTAGCATGGATTTCTTTTCCTTTTTCACAATTTCATGAATAGAAGATTCCTTCATATAATAAGTCTTAGCAATCTCAACATAAGTTTTTTTTCTCTCCTTATTAAGTCAACAGCTTTCATCTTTTCACTTCAAGGAAGCCCTATAGAACTTCTCTCATACACCAGAATTGCCAGCCTAACTGCTCTTCCACTTCGTGTCTATTATTAAGTAAAATAATGGTTACATGAATACAGGTTGACTGTGATACCTCGACAGTCAATCTGAAAACCTAGGACGCTACTAAGTGACTAAGGGCGGGTAGCATACACTGCGTGGATACCCTGGACAAAAGACGATTCAAGTCGCAGACATGAAGGAGTGGGAAGGCACAAAATTTCATCACACTAGTTGAGTGACATACAATTTGAAGCTTATGAGTTGTTTATGTGAGGAATTTTCTATTTGATATTTAGGACCACAGTTGGCAACTGTAACTGAAACTGCAGATAGAGAAGACGTGAATAAGGGAACCACTGTATCGAAGCTATTGCTAAAGGAGTAAAATCACTATGTTTGCCACAAAGTACTTTTATTTCTGGGCTTTTCCCATTGATATCCTCACAATGTTTCTCAGTTAATGGAATATGAATAAGAAAAGTACATGAGCAAAAAAGTAAAAATCAGTTAAAGTTATTTAACTTTAGCCCGGTTTTTGAAACAGTTAAATGCTGGATCCCCTATTGTTCTGGACAAGTTTCACCATAGTGAACTTTCTTTTTCCTACAGCATATCATAAACCAATCATGTTTTAAATGAATGGAAACTCTGATGTACATAGGTCTAGGGTAAATTTAGTGACTTACAAATGATTAATAGATTAATATTCATCATATGAAACATGCTACAGTTTAGTCATATTGAGTCACCCATCTACCATGAAGAAAATAAATATTTACTATAGAGACTCAGGGACAAACAGGAATTAGACAGATGAGGAAAAAGCAGAATTAAAAGAAAAAA